TTTAGTTAAGGGGTTTTAAGGGTTTTAGGGGTTTTAAGGGTTTTCGGGGTTTAAGGGCTGGCAAACGGCAGGCTTGGACGCTTAAGGGCTGGCAAACGGCAGGCTTGGACGCCCAGAAGAAGCCTAAGAAGCCATTGTTGTTTGTGGCCTTGGGGTGCCTGTTGGCGTGGACCGCGCTGAGAAGAAACCATGGACGTGGCCTTGGGGTTGTTGTGGCAGAGTTTCAACAGTTTTAGGGGTTTTAGGGGTTTGAAGGGTTTTAGGGGTTTAAGGGCTGGCAAACGGCAGGCTTGGATGCCCATAAGTAAAGCCTAAAATCTGTGTAGGGGTTTAAGGGTGCGGGCACAATTCGCCCCCAACGTCACTCTTGGACGCCCATAAGAAGCCTAAGAAGCCATTGTTGTGGCGTTGGGGTGCTTGTTGGCGTGGACCGCGCTGAGAAGAAACTATGGAGCTGGCCTTGGGGTTGTTGTGGCAGAGTTTCAACAGTTTTAGGGGTTTTAGGGGTTTTAAGGGTTTTAGGGGTTTTAAGGGTTTTAGGGGTTTAAGGGTTGGCAAACGGCAGGCTTGGACGCCCATAAGAAGCCATTGTTGTGGCCTTGGGGTGCCTGTTGGCGTGGACCGCGCTGAGAAGAGACCATGGAGCTGGCCTTGGGGTTGTTGTGGCAGAGTTTCAACAGTTTTAGGGGTTTTAGGGGTTTTAAGGGTTTTAGGGGTTTTAAGGGTTTTAGGGGTTTAAGGGCTGGCAAACGGCAGGCTTGGACGCCCATAAGAAGCCTAAGAAGCCATTGTTGTGGGTGGCAGAGTTTCAACAGTTGTAAGGGTTTTAGGGGTTTTAAGGGTTTTAGGGGTTTAAGGGCTGGCAAACGGCAGGACCGCGCTGAGAAGAAACCATGGATCTGGCCTTGGGGTTGTTGTGGCAGAGTTTCAACAGCTTTAGGGGTTTTAGGGGTTTTAAGGGTTTTAGGGGTTTAAGGGCTGGCAAACGGCAGGCTTGGACGCCCATAAGAAGCCTAAGAAGCCATTGTTGTGGGCGGCAGAGTTTCAACAGTTTTAAGGGTTTAAGGGTTTTAGGGGTTTTAAGGATTTTAGGGGTTCAACAGTTTTAAGGGTTTTAGGGGTTTTAAGGGTTTTAGGGGTTTAAGGGCTGGCAAACGGCACGCTTGGACGACCAGAAGAAGCCTAAGAAGCCATTGTTGTGGCCTTGGGGTGCCTGTTGGCGTGGACCTTGGGGATGTTGCTAAGAAAGACAAGTTCCACACCCGAGGTGGTCCCAGGCGCCGCCCCTGCCTTGGCTAAGGCCGGAGTCGGCGGATATATATACAAGAAATAGCATGAACCCTTGCCAGTGGTGTTCCTTGCTTTGGAGTTCTACGTCGATGCTGAGGACTGCTGTCCACAGATCCAGCCACCGTCCCCTTTCGTGGTCACTTTGAGTACCGATGGAAGGTTTACACCGACCTGCGGAAGACCATCCAAGCGTCTCGGCCATGCGGCTACCTTGACAACACTGAAAGTTATATAATATAGAGAGATATATATATAGAGCTCATACAGAGCTTGTGGTCGGCGCCCCTTGTCGTGATATTGTATGGTCATTGTAGCGCAATCTGCACTACAGTTTGCAATGTGCAAACTGTATGTCTGCATGTTTTGGAAGTTGAGCGACAGTAATGGGTGGCTGAAACAAGCTGCGCAATCAATTTTGGAGATGCTAGGTGAAGTGGACAGCAGGAAGCCAAGCTTTAAGGGACCCAACTGATCAAAACTTTGAAAAAAAACGAAGGACCGGCAGGGCCTTTTAGCTCAGTGTGCCAGGAAACCGCGGGGTCATTGACGCAATTCGCCTGTGGATATCAACAGCTGGGATTCACCAAGGATGAGGAATCCTGGCGGTGGGATGCATGGGAAACTGCATAGACACAGCTCACCCTGCATGTGTCCAACGATTGGTCGTCTGAAAATGGCCTATGTATGCCGATGTGGGAATTTCCAAAGATGATTCATGGGGCGCAATTGTTCTATACTTGGTGTATATTTGCCGTTTGGTTGCCAGTGATTCACTTCGTGGAGAAAGTTGTTTGGGTGGCCAATCCCAGCTTCACCGCTTTCCCCAATTGAAGGAGACTGGAAGGATTACGTACCGCGAATGGTTGCCACCTGCTCAATCCATGTGCCTTGGGTTTATGGTGAGGCCTTAGCAAGGACTGGTGGCAGATGCATGTGCTGGCCATCTTGGAAGTCTGCAGCCTTGTCAGATATTTGTTGGTGTGGGAACGATTTCTTTCAGCCGTGTCCGAGTTCTCAAACTGGCCCATGGGATCCATGGGGTGGGAGACACCTTGACCAAACATCATACCACAGGCCCGCTACTTGCACTTTCCAATTTTTCCAATTTCAATGTCTCAAAGGGGATGCAGCAAACCACCACCCCTGGGTGAGCTCACCCTTTGTAGGCTTGGGTTTCAGCGATCGTATCATGAGACAAAGCAGCAGCCAACTGATTCTAGGGTCCAAGAACTAGTGGAGGGAACTCTTGCAGATAGCATTCCTGGCGATTTCACAGGGTGCTACAAAGCCGGTAGGTAGCTGGCCAATGGTATCAGGCAGCTTGCATTGGGGATTCTCCCTAATGATGAGTAGTATGGGGGTAAGTCATGCTAAGTCATTTCAGGAAGTTGCATCAAAGCCGCTTTGATATTCGTACTCCTTCCGCAGCATTATGCTTCAAAGGAGGATCCAGCATGGGCTGATGCGGCCGTCAATGGGGCCCTTGCCACGGCCGGATCGGTTCACAGGATTGGCGTTACTGGAGCCTGGAGCCTGTGCATTGCGGCAAGCCCCTCTTATGGTCATGGAAGCGATGGAACCTGGGGCCTATGGAGCCTGCTGGGCAAGGGCGACCAGGCTAGGTGCCAGCATTGCGACCGATGATCAGCCCAGAGAATGGGAAGTACCACGCCACTGGGCAAAACCCAAATGGTTGGGAAATGTTGGGAACTCGCAGAAGACAAAGCCTGCTGGCAAAAGAGAGCTGATGGGGTCATTTCAAGTATGTTTCTCGCGGTCGTTCCGATTGCTCTAAAATGCTCTCAATAACTGCTTGTCAGCAGAATAAGTAGAAGCTGAGAGATCCTTGGTAGATGTCAATGTGGAGGCTTCAAGTGAGGGAGCCCAAGCACATGGTGTCTTCCGGACAAGGTCGATTTCGGGATGACACATAGGGGTTCGGAACAACTTACGTCACGCAAGTGGATGTGTCAAAAATTGGAAAACATGAGAAATAGAATACCCCTTGGTTCAACTTGTTTCCAAACCATTCGCAGTGATTCCGACTAGCTATGCTATGATTGTTTGATGCTTGGAGAAGGGTTTGAATTATTGATATCCTTACCTGCACAATCCCCGACTCAACGACAAACCAAGCTACCAGATTGTAAGCCCAAAGCATTTAATTCACAGAGGCATGTGGCAGGGTGATCGTGGGGAGGCAACGGAGTGCTGTCAAGTTTTTAGCGTTAGAAGTCCCAGATCTCTGCAAAGGGTTGGACTAAAATCTTGAGCAAGGAGAAAAGGCATTTCATGGAATAATTTTCTTAAGGTGGTGCTGGGATCAGTCCCACATCAATTAGGCAAGCGAAGCCTACTGACACCTGTTTTTCTAGTGCCGTGAACCCATCGGTTTGTCAATTTTTGTGGAGCTCTGCTGTGCGCGCATGGGCATGACTGTCTTGCCCAACTGACTGTTTTGCCAAAACACGCAGCGCAATATTCACGCAGGCACTTGGCATGACTCTACAGCCTCCAAACAGATTCCAAGATTAGAATTACCCAAGATTTCTCAAGATGTTTATGATTTACTAGGGCCTTGCCCTGAGCTCTAGGTCAGACTGGAAGTCAAGAATCACAATCCGCAATAATCCACAGATCCACATTCATCATTCATCCATATTCATCCAGATTAATTTGGAGCTGCTGTAGTCATCAAGGGGCACCGCAGTGACCACCAAGGCTCTAGGTTTTGGCCTCGATCTGAGATCGATCAACTCTCTGAGATCACCGACCTGAGAGATCCTCTGCCTAACGACCTGGCTGGAGCCAGCTTGGGGATGCCCCTTGGATCCCTGGGCGATGCAGTCGGATGTGGGGTTCCACCTTGGGCAATCTTGGGCCTATGTTCGTGGGTTCGTGGAGTGGAAAATAGCCACTCTAACCATTCCATCCGTATACACAGATATACAAAGCAATGTTGTATACCGTCGTCAATCCCTTAGACAATTCCAGCAGGGCAAGTTACTGCGAGTCCACATCCAAAATGTTCCAACATCATCATTTTCAGAGGAAGAGGGCTTCACATGTTGAAAGGTCAAAGGTTCTTCGATGTGCTCGAAGGGTTGTGATGCGGATGAACCATCACTCAGCCATGGCGGCCCGGGCATGATCAAGCCTTTGTGGACCTAGTCAATAGAGCTGTGTATCCAAAGGTTGTATTCTACCGTATCCTACCACACCCTACGCATCCCTACACGTAGTGGTTGATGCTTTCATTTTGTTCGCAAGATGACAAAACATGTTCATCCCTTTGGAAGGTCATCCCCAATTCGTTTGGGGTGGAAACCACCAAGCAGATCAGTTGCAGTCACCATCAGTCGCCAAGGTTCGACGATGACGAGTGGAGTGAGGAATTTGGCCTTCACCCATCCAGTGGCCTCTGGCGTCCCCTGGACGACGGGTGATGCAACTCCAAGAATCAATTCAAGATATTCAAGGCTCCCAGAATGACTTAACGTTTTAACTTGGTTTCAAAATGTTTCAAAGATATGTGGTTATCTATGTTTATCATTGTTTATCTATATTTCTCTATCTATATACTGTACATACACAATCATACACATGCGTAGATGTGTACATAAAATATTCACATAGGGTGTGCACATTGTGTAGTGACATATAGTGTGTATATCTGATATAGTATGTATATTATACATTATAATTGCATGTTGCGTGATATAATGTCTATGCGCACAACTGTATACAGACATACTGTACATACATTACTTTGCATTGCGTTACGTTATATTACTCTACAGTCCAGTACATTACATTGCATACATATATGTATGTGTATATACATACTGTACATATAATATCATATAATATATAATATAATATATAATATAATATATAATATAATTATACGTCCACCTGGTAAGAGAATCATGATTCATAACACATCCGAATGCCCTACAGTACACATATCCAGAGTTGAAAATCGACAGCGGCGTTTGGTTCGAACTCTGGGTTACCCGTTGCTGACCTAACCAGGTGATTTCTGGATTTTGTCATGGAGGGAAGTATCCACTAAATGGTCAAGTTGCCACCTACAAGTGGGGTGACTGGCATTGATCTGCTCCAGACATGAAGTTGCTTCTTCTCGAAGCCCATCACTGGAAACAAGCACGCCTAGGTAAGGCAAGTATCGACCCGCGATACGTCTTCTTTGTTTTGGTGGTTGTCGATACACATGTTATGCTCACTTTTCCTCAGGATGTCAATGCCTAGATGATGCTGTCATGCTGAGTAATGCTCCCTGTCCACCTGTTGTAAGGCACATCTACCGTCATGATGATCCGGAACATACCTGGGAGGCCGCTGAATGGTTTACCCCCAATTGGAACGGCTCAAAATACAAACACCCGGTGGTCGTGATGAATATAACAGGGCCAGGATTGGATGTCTTTGTGTCTTGCTGAGCATGTGGTCATGTGGACGGGCTCGGACAGGTTTCGTGGAAGCATTGTTGGAGCAAACATGAGCAAATCACCTGCTTTGGAGAATCCCATTTTTTCCAGATTTATATGGGAAGCTCATCTTGAACTGGGGTATCTTCCATTGCCAGATTTGATGACTCCAGGATATTCCAAATTCCAACTGATCGTTGCGGGACCGCATCCAGGTGTCTGGAGCGTGAGCTTGAAAGCTTGATCATAGATTCTTGGTCCTCACAGCCTCTCTGGCTGTATATAGATTAGATTAGATTAGATTACACTAGATTAATCCCTTCCCCCTAATACTAAACTCTGCCGCCCCCTCCCCTAAGTTTTTAATATTACTAGTAGGAGGTATTCAGTATTAGGGTGCAAAGCTCCCTTAGTACTAAAATAAAAACCTTAATTGAAAAAAGAAAGAAAATGCATATGTCAAAATCGATTAAGTTTTGTTTTAAATCTGATTGAAATATTGCCAAAAATTGGATGTTGAAGCTTTCCGCTAATATCCCCTAATATAATTAATAACCTGGATCAAAAAAACACAAAGGATGGACCCATATTTTTTTGAAAAAAAGCGGTGTTGACTAGCTTTTATTATTCCTTGTAGGGTGCAACCCTGAAATGGGACCTTTACGTTTAAAGGGGTATCAATTGAAAATCAAATTGACCAATCTGAAATTTCCCAAAATTGGAAATCGACCCTAGTTTTTTATCTGTGGTGTATGTTGAGTAATAGGAGAAACGGATTACACCAGATTTGCTTAGATAGATAGATAGATAGATAGATAGATAGATGGCAAGAGAGAGATAGAGATAATGATATAAGATGTGGGTGTGACATGGTCTGTGGTATGCCTGAAAAAACCTCAGACCTTCCAACCACCAGCTGTGGATAGTCATGTAGAAAGTCGTCACTTGGAATTTGCTCTTAGCACTGTCTTGTGACTCTAGTGGGCATGGAGTCGGCATGGTTGGGGCTTCTTTTGTTGTGTGGCCACTTTATGGATGTCTTATGCCCAGTTCATGTTCCGGAAACAAGCCATGGATCAATGAGGAACCATGGTCCACGCCAACATGGAGACGGCCAGAACACATCCAAATGTATCAGAAAGTGTGCATTTACAGCATGCATCTGCACGCAACCGCTCAAAAAAACATTCATCGATTTCGTCCAGAATGTATGTGCTTCACAGATCTGTACGTGTGTATACATATACATGCATAATGCATAAAATGTATTGAAATGTATTGAAATGTATGATTAGATATATTTGAAGGAAGTGAAACTTCTGACTTATGGACTGATGCAGCAACAGGTGTGGCAAGAGTCAGATAAGAGAGAGTAAGTAGAAAGAAGATCAAAGTGCGCGAAAAGGTAGAAAAGTCACGAAACACTGTGTTT